TCTTCAAAAACATATTTGAAGTATATCAATGCTAGTAAGTACTAATATAAACTTATCATCGGAATTGTGTAGTCATGTGGATTCTACGGGGCAAGAGAGAGACTGGCAATACCTAGGGAAGGAGGACTGAGTAACAATATGGCAGACTGATCAACATTCCAAGCACAAGGATTAAGTTTGGTGAAAACGCCAGTGTGGAGTGCGGAGGGTTCTCATGAAAGCCGCTCAAAAGGGCACCGTAGCACATTCAATTAAGCAAGTAAAATGTTGTGACAGTGAAGGCGTGTTTGGAGGATATAGGAAATGTGAATAGGTCAGGGCAGAATGGAAAATACCATCACTGTTTAACACACGTTTGGTCAAAGGATCGGCTTCACTTATCTCTTTGACGAGTTGTAATATGGTGCTACGAATGGTAGAACTCACTGACGATGTTGACTACGATGCCTGCGAAAAGGCTGGGAATGTACCACGTCCACGGCCCTACTTTGGAAATTATTATGCATACAATGGACCCAGGACAAGGTGCGTGTCTAAGTCTTCCTACCAATATGATCAAGGCAAACAACTACCTTAACGTATTTATTTATGTATAGTGTGGTGTGATCCTTTAAGCGACATGAAACCTTCACACTCCAACTGTCGTTCTCACATCCACGACTGTTGATCTGACTGCTTTATTATTATGCAGTCCTCTTTTCTAGTCTTATCCTAGTCTCTCTCGCTCCGTAAAAGCCGTGTGATCTACCCCTTGTTCACCTATTTTACTCGGCTCCTGCCACCACATCTGTCCTACTTCAGACGTTATTCGCTCTTCCCTGCGTCTCGGTTACTAATTCGAGGCGCAAGCCTCTGAGTGTCATGGTCACCCCTTTGCTATATGTACCACGTCTCTGGTACAACAGACCTACCGTCAGCCAACTAGCTCCGGTCCTCACCATCTCTAGATGTGATAAAAGGCCGATTTCAACTTGGATTTTATGAAAATCAGATTAAGAATGGGGATAACCACCAAAAGTAGATTGTCTTGCTCTCATCACAACTGAGCCAATAGACGTGTTTGATCATAGACGTGATCCTTAAATCACAACTATTGTTAGTCAACCAGCTCTCGCTTCGACTGTTTCTATCCCCTTTCTATCTATAATGCCAAGCCTATTACGTCCTATGCACTAGTCTCTTGTG